TCCCCCGCCGCCGCAGCCACGGCTCTTTCTGAAAACCCTGCTGACGGGTTTATGCCCTGGAAGTCGTCAGCCAGCCGCGCTGGGTGCAGGACATTGGCAAAAGGCAGGAGCGTCCCAGGGAGCGAAGCACCCACCCGAACACCCAGAGCCCCCCCCGCCCCCCCCGAGCACGCGTGTGCGCCGCACATGTGCGTGTGAGATGCGGTCACGCCCTTGCACACAGCTTGCATCTTGCTATTTTTACATCATATTCTCAACATTTCTCATCTTCAGAACCGTGGTTTTGATGACTGCTCAGGACTTGGGCATGTGGGTTTAGGAAATCGATGTGAACCCCAGTTGTTTCCAGCATTTGCTCTTTGAACGCGGATGCAGATGTCCCCGTCGGTAAATCCTCTGCGCTTCTATTTATTTCCTTGGGGTACATTCCCAGCGGCAGGCCAGGGTGCACGCAACCGTTTTTGGGCTCCTGGCGCCCGCTGGGCTGGGGTAGGGGGTGGGGGGCGAGGAGGGCCTTGGGGAGCAGGTGAGGGTTGAGCCTGGCTTTGCAGGGGCGTGAATGCAAAGGAGAAGGGGGGGGCGATCGTGTTTCGGACACGGTATACGCCGAGCGGGGCACCTCCTGCCCTATGGAGGTGGCAGTATTTCCCCCTGCCCCAGTCGCTGGCCCCATACCCGTCCACTGCTCAGAGGCAGTCTGGCTTGTCACATCCAGCTGGGGACGTCTGTCGTGGCCCCTGACGGCAGTGACATCCGGTGGACAAAGGGGAGGCGGCGCAGTGCACGGCCCACTGCTCCCCACTGGTCCAGTGAAGGCCACTTTTCTGCCCTACGGTCACACAGGGTCTCAGAAATGCCAAATGGCCAGCTCCTGAGCACTCTTGCTGGCCCCTGTGGCTGCTCGTGGACACCCTTCGGCTGTCTCTACACCCTTGCAGGGAAGGGGAGGTGGGGAAGGAGAGAGGCCCCTGCCGCCGTGGTAGGCCACCCCCAGGCCCCCTCGGAGCTGGTGGAGGGTGTTCCCAAGGACAGTGGCTGGACGTGTGCACCTAGGGCCCGGGCTGTTTTTAGGACTCCGATGGGGGAGGCTTCATGACAATCTGCTAATTTTTCCCAGCTGGGTGCTGCTCGTGTCACGACACCCTCCGTGGGGAGGCAGCTTCGTACGGGGCGTCCCTTGCAGGGCCTGCCTTACACAGTGATCTTGTTTCATCACCAAATAGCCCGCGTGTAGATCCAGAGCAGCGTCACTCCCCACGACGTCTCCTACTGTCTGGGGTCTTGCATGATCCCAGGAGAGGGAAAGGGAGCTGGCTTTTTCTCCTGGGCCCCCGGAGAGGGGCTGGGGTGCTGGGCAGGGTGGCAGCGCCCTCGGGTGAGCCCGGACCATCCTGGAGCCCAGGGGTCTCACCCAGCCGTCCCATGGTAACGTCATGGGGCCACCCTAAGACATGACCACAGACCATGAGGCTCAAACCACAGAAATGTAGTCTCACAGTTCTGGAGGCCTGAAGTCCAAGGTCAAGGTGTCGGCAGGGTCAGGCTCTTTCCTTTCTGCTCCTCCCGGCTTCTGGTGGTTTGGGGCTGCACCTCCCCGGTCTCTGCTGGTCTCACAGGGCGTCTCTGTGTCTGGGCCTCAAATCCCCCCTTCTCTCTTGTGTAAGGACATCTAGAGGAGTTAGAGCCCATCCTAGATTCAGGATGATGGCATCTCGAATCCTTACCTTATCTTCCCAGGTAAGGTTCCCCTCATAGGTTCTGAGAGTTGGGACCCAGGACATACCTTTTTGGGGTACACGGCTCAACTCACTATAGAACCTTAGAAGTGGAGCTTGTCTGGGGCTTCCCTGGGCCCTGTGCCCACAGCTACACACCTGTGACCTGGTTCCCCCTTCCGGTCCTGTAGAAGCAGCCCCTGAGGCCCATGAAGGGACAGAGAGGTGACTCGTGGAGTTAAGAAGGAGAGGATGTTTCCAGGGACCCCAAATACACCCCGTCCCCGCCCTGTAGCCACGACATGGCCTGGATGACACGGGAGGGACAGATGTGAACTGCGTGGAGCCAGGGCAGGAGGCGACAGCGAGCCTGGCTCTGGGGTGTACTTGAAATCAGAGGAGGTGGCGGCGCGGGGGTCTGCTGCTTTGGGGGGGTTGGCGTAGATTGTCAAGAGTAACCCTAACAACTTGTACATTCTGCTGCCAGTCACCGCCCTGGGGGTGGGAATGGCTCTGGTTCTCTCCGAGCCTAGGACTAGGAATGGGATGGGATGGGCGGATGTCTGGGGGTGAACACCTAGGTCGATCATGTAGCCAGACGATGAGCACACGGGTAATGGGGGGCCAGGGAGTGACGTGTGGCACGAAGAAGCACAAAGCGAGAGAAGAGGATGGCGGGTGGGGCCGGGCGTGTGCGTCTGCAGAGATGGCCATGGCAGTGACCTGAGGGGGCAGTGGCCCACCCGGCTGGGCAGTGATCTGCGTGTGGGCCGGGTTCGAATGCATCGCCCCCCAGGACCTTCTGTGCCCGAGTCAGCGGGGTCTTTGCTTCAGTGCAGAGTCTTCACTTGTAAGTCAGTGGTTGAGACCCCTCCAAGTGGGCTTCCCAGAGAGGGGACCCTCCAGAGGGGGTCACAGACCTCCCTGGGCCCCCAGGGAGGAGGTCATCTCATTCTGGGCCAAACCCAGGAAACGTCCCACCCACCTGATGTCTGTTCTCTGATGCGGCTGCACGAGTTCACCTGGAGGTGGGTGGGGTGCGAACCCCTCCTCTAGAGAGCTCCCAGACAGACGGAGCCACCGTGCGGGGGGCGGTTTGGACGGTGCTCTGGGGGCTGGGGGTAGACCAGAGGCCCCCCCGGGACCCACATGAGGTCACGGTTTCTGGATACGCCCCTGCCCTGTCCTTTGTCACCTCAGGCTGCCCTGGAACGAGCGGTCTGTACTCTGTGGTCACCTGAGGGGAGAGGGCCCTGGGAGGGGTGCCGGCATCCCCGCTTTGGCACATCCCTGCTGCTCGGCTTGGAACCCCACTGCCCTTGGCCGCGATATCAAGCAGAGGTCACAGGCCGGGCCCACGGGCCGCCTGCAACCCGTGGATGTGATTTGGTTTGACCACACCTGTTCTGAGAGGGGTGGTTTCTTTTTTCTTTTTTTTTTAATTTTTTTTTAAATTTATTTATGATAGTCACAGAGAGAGAGAGAGAGGCAGAGGGAGAAGCAGGCTCCATGCACCGGGAGCCCGACGTGGGACTCGATCCCGGGTCTCCAGGATCGCGCCCTGGGCCAAAGGCAGGCGCCAAACCGCTGCGCCACCCAGGGATCCCGAGAGGGGTGGTTTCCTCTGTGCCAGCACATACGGATCAGGAGTTAGCACATAGAGAACGCAGATTCCCAGGCTCTCCCGACAAGTGCGTCGCTCTGGCCACAATGGGCTCACAGGTCTGCGGGGCAGCAGGTGGGCCCCTGAGGCAGGCCGGTTCCCTCTGACCGGGGACGTTTCTGTCCCGCGGGGCCTCTGGCAGGGCTGAGCTTTGCAACTCAGGATGTCGTGCCGTCTGTGCACCGAGCAGGCCATGTGCCTGGGGCTGAGAGAGGTCCCGCCTGGGTGCCACGTTTGGGGAACTGGTCGTTCCCGCAGCCAGATGTTGGGGACGGGGCCTCCTCTGCTTCCTGTCTCCCAGGACGTAGGAGCACAGGCTCCCCTGGCCACCCCCACCCAGCCACCCAGCCGCCCAGCAGGCCCTGGTCTTCTGGAGGAAGCCCCGTCCACGGGGATCAGACAAGGCCGTGCTGGAATTTGGAGGATGGAAGACTCGGGGTTGGGGGGAGCGGCGCTGAGAACAGGCCCACGTTGCTGTTGCTGGGGTTGGGGATGACCTGGCGAGGTCCCAGGAAATCCTGGGCTCATGGGTGGCGGTGGTGGGGGCTGGGCAGGCGAGGTGGGGCGCTGGGTGGGAGAGACCCTGTGGGCCCGGCCGGGAAGGAGCTGGTGAGTGTTCCTGCCATGAGGGCCCTGCATGCTGTGGTCCTTATAACGGGAGCAGCTGGTTCTTGTTGGGAGCCCGGCTGCAGGGACCGTGGGGATGGCCGGCAGCTTCCCAGGCACTGTCCCCTGGCCTTGGAGGGAGCAGGTCCCGGCAGAGGTAGTGGGCGGCTGGGGTGGGAGTCAGATGCCCGGCGTCCCTCGGGGGCCCAGGTCGGGCTGGGGCAGGTTGCAGAGCACGGAGGCAGCCGGGGGCGAGGACCCGAGAGGGTTGGAGGGTGTGGACGCGCCAGGGCTCTGTCATCCCACCTGCAACAGGGCAGCCACGTGGTCAGAACGCTGGGCCCTGCAGCTGGACAGTTGGCATCTTCTGGCCACTCTGTCTCCACGCCATCGGGCACATGGCTTAAGCACCAGGGCCTCAGTTTCCCCATCCGTACCAGGGGTTAACCACAGTATTCACAGGGTAGGGTCATGGGAAGAGTAAACGGATGCAGTGAACCCGGTGCCTGTCTTTGATGTTGTGCCGCCGGCCGTTCGTGCTGTGTTGTTAGGGTGACGTCATTGCCGTCGTGATTCCGGCAGGTGACGGTTGTTACTGGGAACGCCCCCCTCCTGCCCCCGTTGCTGCTGCTGGTGGTGTGGCTTGTGTCTGGCCGTGTCTGCGTGGGGTAGAGGTGAGGAGGGACGAAGGAAGGCCACGACGGGAAAGAAGCCAAAGCTCCCCTTGAGCCAGGGCATCTTTATAGAAAACGTGGCTGGCACGTCCACGCCGTGGCCCTGGAGGACAGAGAGGCTGCTGTGTCCTCCAAGCTCCAGCCTTTTCGCTTTGTGTCCCAGTGCACGAGATTGCTGGTGCCTGCGGCCCCTGGGACGGTGGGGCTGTCCCCTTTGTTCCCCCGAGGTGGAGGGAGCCCGAGTCCTTTGGGCCCCCCGCCGCAGCACCCCTGCCAGCTCCCTTGGCATAAGCGAGTTCCCGGACCATCCGCTCCTCACGTCCCCCTCTCTCTGTTTTCCAGCCTTGAAAAGATCTTTTGAGGTCGAGGAGGCTGAGACGCCCAACTCCACCCCGCCCCGGAGGATCCAGACCCCGCTGCTCCGGGCCACTGTGGCCAGCTCCACCCAGAAGTTCCAGGACCTGGGCGCGAAGAACTCTGAGCCCGCAGCCCGCCATGTAGACTCCCTCAGCCAGCGATCCCCCAAGGCTGCCCTGCGGAGGGTCGAGCTCTCGGGCCCCAAGGCCGAGCCCGTGTCCCGGCGCACGGAGATCTCCATCGACATCTCGTCCAAGCAGGTGGAGAACGCCAGCGCCGCCGGGCCGTCCCGCTTCGGCCTCAAGCGGGCCGAGGCGCTGGGCCACAAGACGCCGGAGCCCGCCCCCCGGAGGACGGAGATCACCATAGTCAAGCCCCAGGAGTCGGCCCACCGGAGGATGGAGACGCCCGCCTCCAAGATCCCCGAGGTGCCCGCAGCCCCCACTGCGGACGTAGCCCCCAAGAGGGTCGAGATCCAGGTGCCCAAGCCGGCCGAGGTGCCCGCCTCCCCCATCCCACCCCAGACCCTGGAGAATTCAGAACACACCCCGATGTCTCAGCTGCAGAGCAGGCTGGAGCCCAAGCCCCAGCCCACCGTGGCCGAGGCCCCACCCAAGAGCCAGGAGGGTGAGTAGCAGGAGTGGGTCGGCCGAGCTACGGTGCTTGGGGATGGGGAGCTGGCTTTGCCCTGGAGTCCCAACGTGGGGGGGGGGCTGTAGCAGGTGGGTGGGGGCAGGATTCCGTGGCGGCCAAGAATACACCGGGGCAGGGGGCCCAAGGCTGGTGGTGGGGGGACTCTGCATTGGGGATGGACCAGGATGCTTGTGTCGGGCTTGCTCGGGCTTTGGACAGAATCTTTGGGTTTCGAGGGACCCCCCCCTCTATGGGTCAGAATGTGCCGTGGTGTAGAGCGTGCGCTGTCCGCCCCAAACAGCGGGGTCTGCAAGTCTGGGAAATGAAGAGGCAGCAGGCTCATGTGGGACACAGGGGTACAATGGGTTTGGGGTCCAAGGACGGGCTCCCACGTGCCTCTGGTCACCAGGCCCTGGGGCTGGGGAGGGGGCAGGCAGGCTTCTGCTCAAGAGGGATTGCGGGCTGCCCCATAAGTACCCGGCGGGGGCAGGAGCCTCAGGTGGGGGGCCTCTTGGCCCTCCTAAGGTTCTGTCCTGGGGGGTCTTCCTCTAGCTCCTCCTCGGGGAGGGAAGGTCGTGGCCAGAGGCAAGGGAAACGAGAACGCCTCCTCTCTGTGTGCCCGGGTTCTCGGGGCCGCTGGGAAGGGGTCCTTGGGCTCCATACGGGGTGCTCCTCTTGCTTCAGTGGGAGCAGCTCCCTTGGTTTGACTGAGCAGGTGGCAGATGGGGGTGGAGGCCCAGACGCCCGTTTGTGGCCATGCTGGGCCTCAGCCCACTCCCCCATCTCCCTAAACTGGACCCTGCAGAGCCACGCCCACCCACTCAGACACCGCCGTGTTGGGAGGACGGCGGGCCCCGTGCACGGGGAGTGGGCTTCTGTTGGTATGTCCTGCCCGTGGGTGAGATGTCCTGCCTGTGGGTGAGATGTCCCGCTCGTGGGTGAGGTGTCCCTCCCGTGGGGGAGGTGTTCATGCCCGGCTGAGTCAAGCGGGACGTGGTTGGGGATGCGGTCATCCAGGGCCCGTCCACGTCCAGATCGTGATGGCAGCTGGTGCAGGATGCGTGAGGACGGGGTCCTGGCTCTGGGCGATGGGCAGGAGGGTGTCTGCTCGGGGTGGACCCGCCCTGGGTCATCGGGGCAGGCAGGGCACGGCCTCGGGGATGTCTTCCTCCAGCATGTAGACGCGGCTCAGGCCCCGCTTAGCCCCGCTTAGCCTCTAAGCTGTGCTGGGAGCCGGGGCCGCTGGGCCCAGTCAGGCTGGCTTTGCTCAGGAGCAGCCGAGGGGGCCGTGGGGGGTCTTGAGCCAGCCTTGGAGGAAGTAGAATTTAAGCAGGTGGGGAAGGGGAGCCCAGGCGGCAGCCCCGAGGTGCCCGGGAGCCTGGAACTCAGAGGGAACTGCAGACTCTCGCCGTAGAAAAGAGTTTAAATCTCCAAGCCCGGCACGAGAGCTCCGCGGTCAGCCGCCCAGACCCCGGGGCCCCTCAGAGGGCAGATGGGCCCAGCTCCTGCGCCCAGTGGCCTCCTGCCGTGGAGCATACTCTGAGGGGTGGGGGGCTGTGTACCCATCACATGAGTACACACCTGTGCCCCGACCCCCCGTGTCTCATCGGCTGGCTGGGGAGGGGCTCTCCGGGACCAGTGCTCACAGGCTGAGGGCCTTTGGGCTGGACAGATGCAGTTAGGAGGGATGCTCGGGGGCGGGGGCTGGAGGAGGTGGGGGCACAGATGGGCCTTGGGCCTTGGGTGGGAGAGGAGGAGGAGGAGGAGGAGGAAGCAGGGCCCCCTGTGGGTGGGAGAGTGGCCCTGACCGGCTTGGCCATGGATGTCCAGTCTTAAAGTCCCTAAAGCAAGCCCAGTGCGGGCCAGGGCCTTCCCTGTGAGGCTGCAGTCCTGGAATCTGCTGTAGCAGCTTCTGGCAGTGAGATCCCCTGCTCCAGGGCTCCGTCCGCTCCTCAGGTCACCGCCTGCCCAGTCCATGCAGACACAGACCGGCTGTCCCTCAACCTTGCTTCCCATCCACCCTTCCCCCCCCCCCCCGCCTTGACCTCCTGACTCCTGGCCCCTGACCTTCTTCCTCTTTTTTGAACTCCTATGCATTCTTCAAAGCCCAAACAGCACTCTTCCATGAAGCCCTCCCGCTAGCCGGAAATGGCCTTACTTCCTTTGACTTCTGTGCCTTTTTGCTTTTTTTTTTTTGATGTATGATATCTCGTGTTTGGCTTGGAATATTAATTACCTGTGTTGCATGAAACTTTTTTCTGCTAGACTCCTCACGTAAAAACAGTTCCTCAGCGTACCGTTGCTTTCGAATTCAGAAAACGTAGAAGTTAGAACCTAAAGTTCACCTGTAACCCAGCGCTATCCATGTTCAGCGTTCATCCTATATTTTTCAGAATTCCCTCCGTGCGCCCTACTGGGTTCTAGGTTGAGGGTGAGGCTGGTGCTAGTTTTTTTCAAGTTTCTTTTTTTAATTTATTTTTTAACTGAGTGACATGGATGCAATAGGTGCTCAGTGAAACGATGTTGGAGGAGTGAGATGGTTTTTTGTGGCCCCTGGGGGCAGACACAGGGACCCCGAGGGCCCCATGGGACCTTGTGGGGACCAAGCAGATGCTTTCCTGGTCAAGCCAGAACCCACAGGTTGTGACCTGCTCTGCTCTGGTGCATTGGGTTCTTTGTTTCTGAGGCTGCTGGCCCCTGACCCCTGACCCTCCCTGTCACCCTTTGGTCATCCCTGCTTCTCTCTTCAGGCTCTGGGTGAGTGCGGCTTGTCCCCTGTCCCACATCCCTGCTTTCCCCGGCCCCTGCATGGGTGGCTCCGGGTGGGGCAGGACCACAACCATGCCTGTGCGGGGAGCGCCTGGCTCTGCCTCCGCCCGGGAACCACCCGCCTCTGGCCCATGGCTGAGGCCGGCCAAGTTTCCCCGAGGCTGCCTTATAAGGCGGGCATTGGCTGCTCACTCCTGGGTCTGCTGCTTTGACGTCTCCGGATGCTAACTAGAAGCCACGGGGGAGGCTGGGGCTGACAGGGCAGGGTGGGGACCGAAGCACCCTGGACCGGCTCCCGCTGAGTTCTTGTCTGGGTCCTGGTCCCACCCCTTGGGCCAGCTCGTTCTGAGCCGTCACTTTGCCGCCCCCCACCCCCAGCCTCAGTTTCTCGATCTGTCCACTGAGGGAGTGGTTGGGGCCCCTGTCCCGAGGCGGTGCACTCAGAACCACGTTCCACGGTGGTGCCAGGCATGGCTGGTGATGATGGATGTGAGCCTGGGGTGGGGCAGACTCACCGCGTGTCTCAGGAGGGTGTCCCTCTTACTAGAAACGTCTAGAGATGTTCTTGGCTGTGGGTGGAGCTTGGAGGAAGGTGACGGTGGGTCCCTAAGCCTCTGGTGCTGGGTGCAGCGCCTTTGCACACCTGGTCATTGCACGCCTGCCTGCCTTGCAGGAGGACCCGGGTGCCTGCTGCACTGAGTCCGCGTTAGGGGCTGGGACAGAATGAAGTTGGTCTCAGCTCTGCAGGGGACAGCGGGGGCTAGAAGCACAGGGCTCCTGGGACCCCCAGTGGGGACATGGGAGGAGGAGGAGGCTGGGCCGAGGAGGCTTCAGGGAAGGACAGGTGTGTACTGAGCGTAAAGGGGGGACGGGTCAGCCAGGGAAGTGGATGGGAATGTGCAGGGAGGTGGGACTCCTCCTGTGTTTGCAGGATGCCCCACTAACTGGGGTCCACTCTGGGCCTGATGCTGGGCAGTAAACTCCCTGGGGAAGTCCCATCCCAGCTCCCGGCATACAGCAGGAGCATGATAAGTGTGCTGAAGCGAGCAGAGCAGTGGGCTCGCACCTCACCAGGCCCTGGCCCTTCACCTGCAGAATTTCCTTCTGTGCGGGGCTAAATGTTTGTTTCTTTTCTTTCTTCTTAAAGTTTATTTATTTGAGAGAGAGTGTGTGTGCACGTGCACGCGGTGGGCGGGGGCAGAGGCAGAGGGAAAAACAGGCTCCTGGCTGAGCAGGGGGCCCGACGTGGGGCTGGATCCCAGGACCCTGAGATCATGACCTGAGCCGAAATCAAGAGCCAGCCGTTTAACCGATGAGCCCCCCAGGCGCCCCTCAGTGTTTCTGTTGTGGCAGGACCGGGCCATGCCTCCAGCATGTTCCTGACCCGGCCCCAGGGGAGCATCCAGGCACCCGCTTACTTTTGGGGATTGGGTCTCCTCCTCCTGCCCCCTGGTAAGAACCAGCACACTTCCCACCTGTGTCTGCGCAGGAAGTCCCCGTGCACGGGCGGGGGCGGGCAGGTGGACAGCGCCAGGGCAGGTGTGTGTCCAAGGTGAGGCAGATAGGGGCAGCAAGGACAGATCTGGGCTCCGGGGCCCAGGCAAAAGCAGCCGCCTCCCCTCGCCAGCCCGCCCGGCTGTCTGCCCGGCCCAGCGCAGGGCTGAGGAGGAACGAGGCCCGTCCGGGGAATGCAACCCCGGCAGCTGCGGAATGCCTTCCGCGGGGCCAGGCACAGCTGCGGGGAGGGCAGGGCAGGAGGCAGGCGCTGGAGGAGGCGGCCTCAGCCCTTCCCTGCTTCGGGGGCTGTGGCCCTGGCCACCCAGCCTGGCCCCAGGATGGAACCCGGGCTCCCAGACACATGGCGCTGGGTGAGGCCTCCCGGGCGCTTGTTCGGGAAGCCTGCGCAGCTGCCAGCAGAGGAGCCGGGTCTGCATCCACAGCCTGTGGGGCCCGGGACAGCTGCCGGGAGCCGGGGTCGGCACAATGGGGCCGCTGTGTGGGGAATGTGCCCGAGCCAGACAGCCCCGCCCTGTGCGGCGTGGACAGGACACGTCAGCGCTGGGGGAGCACGCTCAGGCCCCCACCTGGTGCCCTGAAGTGTGGGCAGCCCTGGCCAGACTCCAGGTTCCGACAGTTGGCCTGCAGGACGCCACTAGGTTCACGCCGGCCTGATGAGGCCCGATGTGGACCTGCGGTGGCAGGTCTGAGAGCTCGGGTGAGGGGGA